TAGCCTCCCCCCCGAAGTATTGAAATTAGGCTTTAACGCGATGAACAGTTGCCGGTCACTTTGGTTGAATGATCTCCAGGCTGGCCTATTTAGATTTGAGAAGATTCCTGAGGATCAGGACGACTTGATAGCTGATGATGAGGAGGAACGACATATTAGTGATAATCAGGGTAACTTGTTGGGGGATAATCATGAGGAACCATTGGAAAATGATGAACAACTTGGGCTTGGAATCGAAGAGGAACCAGAAGAATGGAAGGGGATTGGTGAAGATGAGACTGAGGGTGACTGATGAGACTTAATGATTTTGTGGATTACTTTGAATTAATCATGGGCGTTTATAGTTTTTTCTTCTCTCTCACTATTGTTCATCTTTTTTCATCTCCTCATTTTCTTTCTTGTTTTATTTCTTCCTCAGGTGACCAGCTCATCTTGTTTGTTCTCTATGATCGATGTTATTCCTTTCAACTATACATTTATTATGGATACAAATTTCATTTTCAAAAGTTATAGAAAATGAGATAGGAATACAATTTGGCTATTTGATGAGTTAAGTAAAGGGAGGCCCGTGCAAAATCGCTATGAGGGGGATCGAGAATTCTTTAGGTAATCGCTCGGACATGTATAGATGATGTCCAAGAACAGTGATGGCCTTAAGGATATGGTAGAGATGCTGAGAGTTTGGATCGATCGATCAATCAATCTTGACTAAATTGTGAGTTGCTATTGATCTTGACTATTTGAGGATCTTGAGATTGTACCTGTATGAATGGACGAAGCGTTGTGAAATGATCTTTATTTGTGTGAACTGGTAACTTATAGTATAGGGTGAGTTGTGGATCTCGAGTTGGTTGTGAAGTGATCTTTTAGTGTGAACTGGTAACTTGAGGTGATCGAGTTGTGAGCCTTTGTGAAGTTTTGTTCTTGTGACTCCTTGTGAAGTGGCCGTGAACTTATGGTCTTGGGTTGTTGTGAGATGTGAAGTGGTGAAGTTGGTCTGCGTGTTGGACTTAGTGAATTTGTGAAGTTTTGGTGGTGTTGGACGCGTCGGTAGGAGAAATATGGAGAAAAAACTTGGAAAAAAGTAGGCGCCCGACTTGTCGGACGCGTCGGCATTCTCTCGCAGAGAATATCGGCTTTTATCCGACCATAGAGTCTCGTTTTTCTTCGAATACTAGTCCAGAAGGCTAGTAGCTACAGGTGAAGATGGTGACGGTAAGTTCTGATGACTGTTATCTGAACGCGAAGATAAACTGACCATTTCCCCAATGTAGATCTCCCTGACCCTATGGATTGGTTCAACAGACTGAGTCTCGCAGCCTCTCAAGGCCCAGCCACTGTGGATTTGCAAGCGCAAGATGTACCTGACGAAGCGCAAGATGTGAATGTCGACATGCTAGCTCCTGAATCTGATACCGCCCGAACCTTTCTAGTATCTTTTAACCTTTGGCAACTTGTGATACCTGACAAACCTGCTAACCTTAAGAAACGGAAAACCGCTGGTGGATCCAGACCAAGCCAGCAGAAGGTCCCAGTTCCGAAATACGAAAATTACAATCCCAAGGTGCAGAACAATAAACTCACGCTATCTGATCCCAAAGTCCTCCTCAACTTCAATCTTTTCAAACCAAAGCTGTTCTTAGCGTGCGACAAGACACTTCCCCGGGTTTCTGAAGCCCTTATGAAGGCTTGCACTTCCCAAAACGTCACTATTCAAGGCTTCATCAACGGTACTCGTAAAGTCAAAGCAGTCAAGTTGGTTATTGACGATGACGAATCACTTCAACATTTCATGTCTGCGAGTCAGCTAGTTCCTTCCTCGACACCCATGGGCTTCAAAATCCACCACGAAAACCCCAAACTTGCCAGTTCCGCCACTCGTTTCATGGCCACCTTGCGCTACAGCCCTGAAGTCAACGCAGCTTTGGAAGAGTCTGAGGGTGAGGAATCCAAAGCAGGCTCTCAAGGTGTAAGTCACCAGTCTATTGGTCATGGTGATGAGTCTATCACTGACATTCTCATTTCGTAGTCCGCCATCTTAAGTCAAGGCGAAAGAAACCTTTGGACTTTGATGGATCGTTTTGCCAAAGACTTCAAGCGGGGTGAAAATGTCACCTCAGTGGCTAACCCAAAGAATCCAGGAGAAATTGTTCTCCTCAACACTTCTCGCATCAGGACTTGGGCAAATGATTGGGTTAGTATCCATCATTTCCATTTTCTTAAGGCCTTTCATCTCGGATGGTTCTGACTTTGTATGTTTGGTTGGTTCCAGGCTGATGGCGTGCGCGGTGTTGATGATGTCAATCCGCCTACCAATCGCCCTGAGTTTCGGTGGATCCCAGTGGCCAATTACGAGCTTGAAAAGGCAAAACTCCTTGGTTTGATTCCGCCAAACCGATCTGACTCTTCCTCCTCTCTAGGCACGGTTGTTCACCATAATTACTATGGACAACCAATGCCTTCGGCTGGACCCCCATTCCCTGCCCCGATGTACCCTTCTGCTGGTCTCGGAAATCCATTCGGCCTCCCTCCCTTGTATACCGGTCCCACTCAAGCCCCTCCTGCGTACGCACCACCAACCCCTGTGGTTCCGCAAGAATCCCTTCGATTATCCCCACCGCCGGAAATACCACCCTTTGAAGAATTCTTATCTTTCGCCGGTATTCGACCTGACATGGTGAAGACTCGCAAGATCTTAGCTGCAGAAGGAATTGATGATTTTTCTCGATTGTTAGATCGCAAAACTTACTCTTTTGCCAATTTACGAGCCCTTCACATCCCATTTGCTCATGCAGATGACATCTTTCAGGCCGTTCCAAAGTTCAACAATCACCTGAAGTCGCTTTGAAATCAATCCACAGCTTCGGATTACAATGGCTTTTAGTCACCACGAAGTTTTCTTTCATTTTGTTTATCTGTTTGTTGGTTATGTCATGATCTGTTTGTTGGTTGCGGCCAAAGTTATATCCCCCTATACTTACCTATCTCGAGTGGGTTATGTTCTCTTCTTTTTCCTGATGTGGGTTGTGAGTGTTTCCAACATGTTAAATCGCCCATATGTGTCTAGATCAAGATATAGATGAGGTTCAATTGTTTCTTTTGAGTGCCATTTGATCACGATTGATGGTGTTTCTCGATGAAATTAACAAGTCATTGGACATCTTGTTGCCTTAACTACTTTGTTCCACTTTGCCTAAGTTTGGCTGTGAACATGGTGTCACCTGTTCACAGCCAAACTTGAAAGTTTTGGGCATCCACCTTTTTTTTGGTTACAAGTTTTGGTTTACAGCAAGTCTTTCTTTTTTTGGGCATTGATTTTTTTTGGTGAGGAGTTTTGGTGGTTTCTCCTCATGTTAAGAGGTTTTTGATGCGGGAATGTTTTTCTCACAATCAACAGACAATAGATTGTCTTTGATTACATTCATATTTCTTTATTGCCTCAACTCAGGGTGCTCGTTCTGTTTTTTTTCACGTGAGGACTTAGCCAAATCTTAAGATGAATTATTTGCTCGCAAATAATTTTCAGGGTCTTTTTTTTGAAGACCTTTGTGTTATCAAGATGGCAAAACTTGTTGACCTTTGAATTGCTCAGCAGAGATCTAGGTATAAGAAACATGAAGGTGGCTAATCCTCTTAGTAGTCATAACAAGGCCACTATCCCTACATCCAATATCCACAAACGGAGTACAACTTGTGCATGAGAGCACCGGAAAATAAGGTCCAGGTGGCATCCATAATCAATTCAACCTTCTGATCGGCCGCGGTGTGGATGAGAGCCTGGGTCCGTCGGAAGTGTGATTTGAGAACACTAAACGCCTTCTCAATTGGGTTCAGATCGGGGGAGTAAGGAGGTAGATACAAAACCCGTATCCCATGTTCAGCAGCCAACTCCGCGATCCTACCCCCATGGTGGATGCAAGCGTTGTCCATCACTAAAACCGAGTTTGCTTGAGGGTAGGGATTCATTACCGGAAACTGTAATCGGATGATAGAAAAAAAAAGTCAATTTCCCAAACGGTGGAATTGAGAATGTGGTATGGTAGAAACAAGGGTTTGAGCACTGTACCAAACGATGCTTAAGGAAGGCTTCGAAATCACGACGATCGTAGGATCCTTCCTGGCAGTCGACTGCCAATACTCCACCCCGGAAGATAGCCGGGAGGAGCGAGAAGCGTTTCCCACCTCGGCTCCAAGGAATACGGGAGGTTTGGTGCCCTTGTCTGGCCCGGCCAAACAGACGTCCGAGATAGCGCTCTTGAATTGAGAACTCGTCTAAGGATGAAGAAAATTCAGCTATGGTGCATTTGGTAAGCAATGATATGAAAAAAATGCAAATGAAAGCGGACTTACCTAAGAAAACAAGCATGTTAGGGGTCAAAGCCCCTACCGCATGCAAATACCTAGCTCGCTTTGAGGCACTCTGGTTCGGGTGGACTGTTCGAGCTTTCTTGAGAGTGATATTGAGGCGATCCTTGAGATCGCTGGCCACGGTTTGTAGAGAAATCCAGGTTCCCGTGCGCCGATAAACCGCATGACGATACTCGTCCAAGTATAGGGCGGGATTCCCATCGAGGAGTTCCAACATAAAATCGCGGTCTTCGTCAGTTAGGGCGGTGTGTCGTCCAAGTGGCTGGTACTCTTCAGGATTGCGGATGACAGAGTAGGTTCTTCGATATAGGCCGTACCATCGAGAGACAGTGCGGTAGCTCACTGGGGACTTCAGGATACGGCGGACTTGGTCGACTGTTTTTCCAGCGCGGAGGTACTGCACAGCCAGTACTTTGATGCTGACATCATATTTACCAGGTCGAACTCTCATGTCTAGGAGGCAAATCCAAAACCATCAGTTCATTACTTCGATAAAGGAAATCACTCAAGAAGGGGAGATAACTTAAGGAAAACAACCTACCAAAAAGGGATGAAGAAGAAAATGACGAACCAGAATCAGGTGAAAGCAGTTGTATCAGGTCCAGATGAAAATTTTTGACGTGGCGAAAAAAAACGGGACCGGATGGTGGATGTGGGTAAGGATGTGGGCAGAGATCCGGAGCCCGTGGTGGTTAGATCAGGGTGCGGGTTCGACCTGAACCGTGGTCCTCTACACATCTGCTGCGCTGCGCATCGCCTGTATTCAGGGGTGGCGCTGGGGGGAAAAATTGAAATTTTGTGCCACTAGGACACAAATTTCTTGAATAGCTGTAAATTGAAGCATCTCTCTGATCCAAGTTTGCTTTCTTCGTCTCAGCTATTTACATACATAAAACACCTTAACCTATGTAACAAACTCCCTCGAGTTATGTACATATCCACAAAATTTGGTGTGTGAGCAAGAAACTTTTGGCTGGGGAGTTTTAGGGAGTTTTTCAACCCACCATCACTTTACCCTAAAAATGAACAGTCTTTGGACCATTTGGACCAAAGAAAGGTCCTGTCACTGTGTGCCCGCTCAACCTACAAAGTGCCATGCTTGCCTCGAGCGAGGCTGAGGCGAGCAAGGGACTTACGCCAAACTTGCATGCTCCATAAACCTTGCGGTAGAGGGATTTGCAGGAAGTTTCCTTCAAGCCCCTTTATCTTTTTCCACACCGCGGATTCAGGCATAGTCCAAAGAAAAGAAATATGTGCCAGAGTAACACCACAGGAATTATTATGTCCAAGACCCAATTGAGCAAAGTTGTGGTGTCCGAGTCAGCAATAAGTCTCAATTTTTGGATTGAAACCTATTAAAGGCAAGGGGTTTAATAGGTTTCAATCCAAATTTGAGACTTATTGTGAACTCTGTCACCACATTAAGTTTCACATATGATTGAACCTAATAGATGCCCGTGGTGTAAAGCACATATGGTACATGTTTTTAACAACACTGAGACAGCTAATCTACCCGTAGCTGATAGCGCAAGATAGCGTAGCTAGAAACATGCCGCAAAGCTACAGCTAGCAGGAATCAGCACGAATGAATCCCAGCTACCCTACGCAGAGTCCTAGAAAATCTCCAGCTAACCAAATTTTGGCCCTGTGGCGTAGTGTAGAGGCACAAAACTCAGCTACAGTAGCTTGTAGCGTAGCGTAACTTGACAAGTTACAATATCATAAAGGTCAGATCTGTGTTAACTGCATACAGTTATGCTACATACAAAATGCATGTTAGCGTGTTGTAGCGTAGCTGTCTCAGCGTTGTTTTTAACCAAGGAAAGTGCTCTTATTACACATGAGATAACGGATGAACAAAACCAACCATCTTCACCAACACTTCCCATTTGCAGCAGTCACATGTGTGGTTTACATGTACAATTGCTATTGAAGCCAAAACATTGAAACAATTTTGTTCATGGAGCGGAGCAGTTTCCTTGGTGAAAAATCTGTACAATATGCACCAGAGTAAGGCAGATATTTTTCATCTTTGGACCATACCCAAATCCTTGGTGTGGAATGAGATAAAGGCCAATGATGGATGCTCCCTGCAAAAGCCTCTACCGCAAGGTTATGAAGTGTGCAAGTTTGGCGTACATAAGTCTCTTGCTTGCCTCAGCCTTGCTCGCGGCAAGCATGTGGGACTTTTTTAAGTTTAGCTGAACCTGCATACCTTCATGTATTTGTCTGTGTATTTGATGCAATAATTGAAGAGGGATGGAAGGCTTATGTTTGCAAATGAAACCCAAAATTGGTGAGAAAGCTATCCAACCTGTCAAAAGCCCATAGGCCATGAGGGACCGGCAAACACACAAAGAGGGGCTTAGTTAAGCTTAACAGGCCATGCTGAGATGTTACATGTAAACCTATTTTTCAAGTCTTTCTGTAGTGCTTTCCTGTAACCAAGAGAGAGATCCCAAAGAACCAGTATGTGTAAGATTATTAGCTTAACACAAGCCCTCTCTGCATGACCACGTCTGTGCGCCTTGCAGAGGGGCTTGCAACTAATCATCAAATTCTGGCACAGAGACTCCAACCTGTAAGTCCCCTTAAGTTGTTTTTTGCTTTTTCCTGCTTTCCTTGCTGATATTACCACCACTTTACCTTGCAGGAAATGTTACTTGTCATAAGCTTCTATACATACTTGTGGCCTCCTTTGGTTGGCACTCCAACTGGTGTAACCAACCAAGTAGGTTGAAAATCTTTGCAATCCCTGCCTGTACTGTCTTGTTTTTGATTTCTAAGTTGCGTACGGTGCAAATACAGCCTGTACACCCCTTTACAAGTGAGACATGAAGCCTGGATACATGTCTTGCAAACAGAATGACAGACCATTCTTTCCTGGTTGATCAATGGTCAAAGACATGTAGAAACCATTTCTGAACATAATTGCCTGCAAGGTAGGTATTTATCAGTGAGGAAAGCGGGAAAGATCATAAAACAACTTAAGGGGACTTAAGGGTTGGAGTCTCCATGCCAGAATTCAACAATTAGTTGCAAAACCCTCCGCCATGGCCGCACAGAGAGGGCTTGTGTTAAGTTAAGTAAGATTAGCAGGCGTGCAGGTTGAAAAACTCCCCAGCTAAAAGTTTTTTGCTCACACACCAAATCCTGTGGATAACCCATAACTAGTTCCTCTCTCACAGGCTTTCTTGACAAGCGGGACTTTGTTAGGTTATGTAGGTAAAACCCCACATTTTTCTTGTTTTGGACTTCTGTAATATGCTCTTTTAATCAGAATAGTGGTACACAAACATGAACACTCAACTTAAAATCCCATGGACAAAACCCATGACAACCCAATTGTTTTTTGGGTTTTCATGTTGGGTGTTCAAGTTTGTGTACCGCTAATGTCACTCAAATGACCAACATGACATCCCTCAGAGCAGCAGATCCTACATACCGAACTTAACTAATTCACTTGTTGAGCTGTACCAAGTTGTGCCTACTACCGGCTTGCTTAAACAACAGACCTATGTTTGTGTGAGATTGACACGGCTTTTGCCCAAAGTCTTTCATTGTGCTTGCACTCAAATCCTCTCAATCAACACTCATCGAGATGATAATCAAGAAAATGTGCAAGAGACACATCTATATTTCACTAAATAGTTTTAATGTGAGCTTTGCAGAGCAATAGGCTATATGATGAGCTTCAGCACAGCAGACTAGCACTTCTCTGGAGGGTAGATCAAATATTCACAAGTTATCAATAACTTAATCTCTTTTTAATTCAGATGATGGCCCTAACAGAAGTGGACTGTGACCCTTAGGGTTTTGTACATGTTCAAAGACTTAAGTACTGAAAAGCATTCTTCACAGGCAACTTCTCCATCCTATGATGTGCTAGTGGGATGACAAATTCTGCAAACCTCATGAGCTCGGTTACAATCTCTCTCCTGCCATTCTGCCTTACAGTCAGTCTCACAACACTCCCAAAACCTAACATTTGTGATCACCTCACAATAAGAACCCCAATGAGGGCACCTAGCCTTAGGATCCCACAACACAACTCCACATTTCCTGCCATTCTCTGTATGGTATATTCTTCTGGAGTTGTGTTCACATTGGCTAGTCGCTTGATTAATCAATCCTGAGACCTGACTGAAACCAACAAAAGTCACCATCACAATTTTGAAAGCCATCAAAGTCTTCAAGAACATTCCTAGCACACAAACCCTTTTGGGTCAGTGGATTCAACAATATACAATGACTATTTATTATTACTCAAAACTCAGGAATCTGAACTCACTATCTTGGAGAAAGTTTCTCAATACAACCAAAGTTTTAGGTTTAATTTCCAGAATTGAATCTTGCTGTGTATTCACCTAAATATGAAAAGCAGAATTCAGTACATCAATTTACAATACTTTGAGAGCAGATCATAAATTTTAGACTGCATCACAGGCAATACCTTTTAAATTTTGAACCTCTTTCAATGTAACAGATGAGCTCTAAACTAGTGAAGACAGAGAGATGTCATCATCCACAAATCTCTGAACATTGCCTGAAAGGGTTGATTGATGCTTACATATTTGACAGGTTATGCACTTCTAAGATTTTTGATTCAGTTTGGAAAAGAGGGAATGTGGTGGGTTTTTCACAGCTATAAAGGAGACAGATAATGATACTTTTAGTCACATGTTAACAATTCCAGACTTTGGAGGCTCAGCAATAACACAAACTTGTAGACCAGGTATGGTAAATGTCTATGATCAAGACGGTAAATCAGGAAATGGCACAAGTTCCCAATGAACATTGTAATCAATGAAGCTGACCAGGCTCATTTTATACCCATTCCAGCATTCCTCAATATACTTGATAATCAAACACTGGAGAATTGCCGTGCCAGCTGTCTTGCTTGCAGACATCCATCAACTGTTCCCAATTCAATTGAGAGATAACATTTATTTCTATTTATACACTGAGACACTTGGATGACCTATAAACCAATCTGCATATCGGATGAGAGAAATATTGAGTACCCAACCAAGTTCACCAAATGAATACGCACAGCTTGTAAAGCCGCATCAGGAGCAACCCAAGCAAGTTTTTTTTGGATGAATCTCGTTCTCATTTCTGATATTGTTTTACACAAGATCCATACTGTGGTCTATCACACACGAGACAACATCAATTTTGTTGAGCTGACAAGCCAGGATATAGAGTAATGGGACATGTCTCAAAACCAGCATACGACTGACCACTTACGTGCTACTCACGTACTTGAATGGGGCAATAAGAGGGGAAATGTCAGACTGAGTATAACTTGAGTAGTAAAACTAGTCTAAATGAGACTTACTAAATGTAGGTTTCTAAAAATATTTGTTGATACTTATCTTAGAGACGTGGTTTTCGATTCTTAGTAAGTTAAAGATAATCTATAGTTGTTGACTACAGATGTCTGTGGTGCGGGATGATTACCGCTGCCAGGTACTGGACGAGATGTTGAACTTCTCGAGTGTCTTCCAAAGAAATAGTTAAAAGTAACTATCTACTCTTCAGGTGGCACTTCAGTGCTCGTTGATTTGTTAAATCAAAAAGGGGTGATTCCGGATGAAAGTCTTTAGTCAAATGGGCCACGCCAAACGATCTCTAACGCTTTCTAAGTTGGAAGTTTTAGTAAAAAAGAAGATAGAAAAAGATGGTTGCTTTTGAGCAGAATGAAGCATGCAATAGAAATTCGATAGTAAAAGGACTTTCTAATAACGAGTATCAATTCAAAAGTAAAGAGGTTTTTCTAAGATGGGTAAAAAGTGATAAAAGATTATTCTTCTTTATTTGGTGAGAATCGTGGTTCTTTATATACCAACTTTGGTTAACATTGTATGATGTCATGTAAGAAACCCTTATCTCCTGAGGTTGGCCTGGTTTGGGGTTTCGTAGTTTTAGTAACTATATAAACCCTTTCTCGTAGTCTTTTGGCCTGGTCAGGGTCTTTCATTATTTAGTCCCTGGCCTGGGTTAAGGATAAAATTTCTCTCTCGTTGTCTACCCTTCTTCTACCAAGGGTTAATTAAGTTGTACCCTTGGTTATAGAGTTGGTGACTCGAGTTTTATTCTTTTTACACTCTTGAAACTCGAGTGATAGAGTTGTAATATTTCTTTTTTATGTATTAAGTTTTAATTATGTACTTACTTACTTTGTTAACCTTGGAGGTTTTGCTCTGCAAAACCTCTCTGGTTGACACTCACCGGGGTCAGAAAAAAGAAAAAGAATTTTTTTTAATTGTTTTTCTTTTCCACCCTAAATCTACGCAATACCTGTTGCGCATTCGATATTTTGTCTTTGGGGAGCCATTCATCAAAGTCAGCTGTTTTTCCTTTATATCTCACGAGGTAAAGTCTGACATCTTTTCCTGACATTTTGATTCTTTTCTGATCTATTACTTTAAGAACTATTTTGGGTGTGTCATCATCAAAGGGAATTATTTCCTCTGAGCGTTGTCTGTTTGGGAATTTGTCTTTATCAGCTTCTTTGTAATGTTTCAGTAGAGAAACCGGAAATGTTGGATGCTTTCTTGCAAATTCTCCCGTAAGGATTACTTCTACTGCATTTCGACCATGTAGTTTGACAACTGTGAAAGGTCCTACAAAGGAATCTTTCAATTTCCTTGGTCCCTGTATATTGTTAAAGTTGATTGTTGAAATCAGGACTTTATCTCCTATGGCGAATTCAGGTTCTTTGTGTGTTCTATCCCACCGGTCTTTGTTATATTTTACTGACTGATCAATACATTCTTTTGCATATTTCCTTGCTTTTGTCAGCATGTCGTGAAAGTTGAGAGAGGTAGGATGTACTTGAATACTTTTGTCAGTGATCATGGTCTGCGGAGTCCTGGGGTTATATCCTCTTTCTATTTTGAAAGGGGTTTTTCCAGTAGTACTGTGCAAGCTAGTGTTGTAAGCTAGTTCTAAAGCTGGTAATAGTGTTTTCCAGTCGTGTGTGTAGCCTTCTTTATCTTTAAATGATAAGCCAAATGCGCAATATCTTCGTAGCATGTCTTCTAGGCTTTGTATCATTCTTTCCGCTAAACCATCGGTTTGGGGATGATATGAAGTTGACATTGCTAAAGATGTACCCATAAGCTTAGTGAGACCTTTCCAAAATTCTGATGTAAACTTAGGATCTCGATCACTAATAATTATTTTTGGTAGGCCACAGTCTGTAATGATGTATTGCCAAAACAGAAGTGCTGTGTTCATTGCGTCAATTTCTTTATGACAAGGAACAAATCTAGCCCGTCTGGAAAACCTGTCTACAATTACTAGAACACTGTTAACATTATCATTTCCCGCGGGTGGTAATGCTGTCACGAAATCCATATTTATAACTTCCCATGGATATTTCGGTTCTTCAATGCGTTGAAGAAGCCCAAACCTTTTTCCCGTTTGTCTATTAGCTTTTTGGCATCTGTCGCATGATTCAACATACTCGTGTACATCTTTTCGCCATTCCGGCCACCAAGCTGTAGAGCTCATTCTGTCCATGACTCTGTCTTCGCTCAAATGTCCCGCCAGAAAATCGTCGTGACATACAGCAAGTAGTTTATTAATATTGTCTTTGTCTGATACTACCAGTACGTTTGTGTGTTTCTCTTTGTAGTATAGTAACCCTGAGATAAGCGAGAATTTTCCTTCGTCAAAAGGTTCTTTCCATAACTTTTCAAGTGTGCTCTCTAAAGCTACATCTTTATGCTCTGAATTCAATATTCGCAGTAGAGTAACTGTATTCGATTTTTTTGAATAATTTTCTTCTATTTTGAGAAAGAATTCGTTGGATAGTTCACAAAGACTGATCCCCATAAGTGGCACGTCCTGGTCAATGTCTTCTGCTTCCCAGGCGGGGTTATTTTTGTCATTAGGCATAGCCATTCTACTGAGGGCTTCTGCATTGCTGTGTAGTATGCCTGGCCTATGAGTAATTGTCATATAAGATTTATATTCCTGTATAGCCATCTGCCAACGGAGCATATGTCTGGTAGGTGTTTTTGTGTTTAGAAGTGATTTTATTGCTTGGCAATCTGTGATAACTTCAAAGTATATCCCATCAAGATAGTAGTGTAGTTTATTAAGCGCCCATACCAGAGCAAGGCATTCTAACTGTGGTGCCCCATATTTCTTTTCGCTTTCTTTCAGTTGTCTCGAAATGAAACATACTGGTCCATTTACCAACTTACTGTTCACGATCTGTTTTTGGTGCAGGGCTGCTCCTAAACCTAGAAAGCTCGCATCAACGTATACAATAAAGGGTTTCGTGAAGTCTGGTTGAAGTAGGCACGGTGCTGTTGTAAGGAGCTTCTTAACTTCGGCCCATGCCAAAGCTCTTTCTTCAGTAATTGAAAATTCGACTTTCTTCTTGAGAAGATAGTACAGTGGTGACGTGACTTTGGCGTAGCTTTCTAAGTACATCCTATAATAGCTCGCAAAGCCAAGAAAACTTTGGATGTCTTTCACTGTTTTTGGTAAAGGTTGATGTATTACTGCTGCTACTTTATTTTGGTCTATGGCCAGAGTAAGCCCTGAGACAATGTGACCGAGGGCTTTTACTTCATGAAAGCCAAACTTACACTTGTCTAGAGATACTGTAGCTCCTAGATCTTGCAGTTTCGAGAGGATGTTTGTTAACGTTACTACATGTTCATCCCATGATTCATGGAATATGATAATGTCGTCAATGTAAACTATTACATGCCCATCGCGGAGTTCTCATAAAATTCTGTGTCCATCATTTTCTGAAAAAATGCTGGGGCGTTTTTGATACCAAAGGGCATCCTCTGATACTCAAATATTCCTAAGTGCGAGATTATACGTAGAAATTTCTTACTATCCTCCGCTACCAAGTTTTGGTGAAAACCTTTCATAAGGTCCATGGTAGTTATATATAACAACTTTCCTAAATTTGTAATAACTTGTTCGATGCGCGGCATTGGGTATCGGTCAGGTACTGTGTATGCGTTGAGAGCACAAAAATCTCCGCAGACTCGTGATTTTCCTCCGTGCCACGCAACTACGCAAGGCGTTGTTATCTCCACGTCTTCGTTTTGTTGGACTTTCCTTAAGATTCCAAGTCTGAGAAGCTCGTTTGTGTGTTTTTCTAGTTCCGCACGATTCCTCGGGCTCGCTGGATATGCGGCTTTCCGAAGAATTGGTGGGTATGGTTTATCAACTGTAAGTTGAATAGTGACTTCATATTTTTTGATGGTGCCTATTTCGTACTTCCCTAAACCAAAGCTGTTGTAATACTTTTCCACCAGATTTTGTATCTGTTGCGATTGCTCAAGACTAAGATTTTCTCCCGAAATAATTCGCTTTTTAGTGTCCTCTGTGAGAAAAAATTTATTATCTCGGTTTAAAGAAGACACATCCAGTAATTTCCTTTCTTGCTGTAATGCAAACTTCTTGCGTTTGTTATCATTACCAATGGTGAAATACTTCTCCCGTGTGTGTATGATATCAATGCCGTAAAGTGATAGAAAGTCGTCTCCCAGAATAAAATACTGAGGAGTCGCATTCTCCATTATGACAAACTCAGGATTAATTCTGACTGATCCCTCAGTGTGTGGGAAGATCAAAGGTATTTCTATGACTCCTATAGCTTTAAGTATCTCCCCACATCCTCGGAATATTGTTTTACTTTTAGGGAGCATACTGTCTTTCCAGCTTGGGACTGTTTTCTCAAGAAATTCTCTACCTACTGCTGAGCACGAGGCTCCACTGTCCAACAAGCAGTTAACTTCTTTGTTCTCTACTATAACTGTGGTCAGACTATGCTGTCCGGTCATGTGGGCTTTTCCTGCGGCAGGCCTAGATTTCATCTGCCTAGCATCGCTCACGTGTTTGCTAGTTAGTCCTTGGTGCCATTTTTGAG